GGGAAATCAAAACGCAGAGTCTAAGGCCAAATGGAGAGAGAGCTGATCTTGGAGAACAGAGTACTAAGCTTTTTAAGTACCTAGAGCACGGGGTGGCTGGCGGGCTTAGCTTGGGTTTCCCCAGAAGCAGACCTGGATGCAGAGTTTGAGGGCATGTAGTTTAAGAAAAGATCCCAGGAAGAATGGATGGGGAGTGAAGGAGTACCCTGGGAAGGAGAGAAGCCATAAAGGGCCCCGCCACCATGGGCAACTGGAGCTTGAGCCCATGTAGATTCTTCCACTCAGGACTGAGGGAGCTGGAATATGTGTAGCCCATGAGGAGTTCATTTCTGGGCATTTTCATCTGTCATTTGGGCAATTACAATTGGCGCTATGTGGCTTGGAGAAAGCCCTCAGGTCATGAGATACAGACTCAGGTTGTCAGCAGCCAGCTCAGTCACAGTGAGGCCTGAAGGAGGGAGGAGGCAGGACACTGACGACTTTGGACACTCGTGTCTGCCAGATGTTTCAACATTTGCTATCCAACTGAATCCTTACCACAGCCATTCAAGACAGCTCTTTCCCCTTATTTACATGTAGATGAAAAGGCACTGGGAATTACATCATTCAACCCATACTGCCTGTCCTCTCCTACAGCTCTGCTTGAATCTTTCTAGTCTTCTCTGTCTTCTTCCTTTTTTTTTTTTTTTTTTTGAGGCAGTGTCTCACTCTGTCACCCAAGCTGAAACGCAGAGGTGCAATCATAGCTCACTGCAGCCTCGACCACCTGGGCTCAAGCAATTCTCCCGCCTTTGCCTCCTGCAGAGCTGAGACTACAGGCATGTGCCACCATGCCCAGTTATCTTGTTTAAGTATTGACTTAGAAAGTGACAGCCACTAAATAACTGTTAAATAAATTAACCAATTAACAAGAAATGGTGGAGCGCTAGTTAAACACTGATTTCATATCCTTTCTTTTCCACCAACTCTACTTTCCCCATTCTTAGAACAGGAATGTCCTTGAAAGTAACCAAGCTTGGAAGAAAACAGAAACAAGGGAGAAAAGTATTTGGCTGATTCCCAGGATTCTGTCATGGACAATTGCTCTTCACACCCAATTCTGGGTGGGAAACCAGCTTCTGGGCAGGGGAAGAAGGGACTCCCCGAGCAGGACTTTAAATGACTAGAGAGCCTACTCTCACTAATACAAGCACAGAGAAAAGATTGGTGGCTGATCTCTGCATAGCTTGGAACTACATATAACCTTTTCAGAACAGCCCTCCCCTTTATGATTGTAGGTGGTCTTTATTTCGAAATAATTTCAGCAAGATAAAAAGGTTGCCTCAAGTCCTTTGTGGAAGAAACGTAATCAAATGAATGTATGAATGAATGGGCTATGTGAAAGAATAAACAGAGAGAAAAGTAAGGATGGAGGTGTGGCCGGTCTGCTATGGACAGGGAGAACACTGTGCTGTCACTTGTCCCCAGCCCCTTGGAGATGACGCTAATGACTATACGGCTAGGACACTCAATCCAATTCCCAGTCACCATTTCTTACCACCCAAAGACACACGCCCAAAGAGGCTGAAAAGGACGGAAATGATACTAATCCACTATGAAGAATAAGTGACGGTCCACACTTCGAAGTACTGAAATAACTCAGGAAAAGTAAAAGCTTAGTTGCTGTCAGGTAAGCTCTCTGATGACAGCAGGAAGAGGGAGGGGCTATGTACTTACACACCAGGAAGCATCTACCCAGAGCAATTTCAAAATAGAAATCATGTGAGTTTTGGCATTGCACTAAAACCAGCACCTCCAGGTCAACTTGGAAACCTGGAGTCACTCATTCCTCTTTTGGAGCCTGTCGAAATCCTCCCTGCCCCAGTTGAGGGGTGTTTACAGTGGGGAAACTACACCAGATGTCTGACACCAACTCAGGAAGTAGGAGCCTGAGTGAGTCGGTTCTCCCGCACAGGCCACAGCAAGTGGCTGAGAACTCACCCAAGGGCAGGATGGCACCACTGGTGGATCATCTTTCCTCCCTGACGCTCTGGCCCTCTCTTTGGGCAGGCAGAGGGCAGGTGACAGCTAGTCCTGCTGCATGCTCATGCTTTCCTCTCCATGCAGCGAGCAGACTTGCTTCTAAAGGCGGCCGTAAGCATTTCCCTCCTGAGCAACCACACACATCGAATGTGAGTGGTGTATATATGCGGGTGTCTCTCCTTCCGGTTGCTGTGAAGTCGTGTTGTCTTGGTTCATTTCCTCTCTGTGCCTCTTGTTTTTTTCTCTGTCATACTTTCTGATTCGCTGAGGACGCTTTGTAGTTTAGGGACAGGTAAGAAAGCTTGTTCTAATCTGTCCTCTGTTATTTTTAGAAAGATAGAGATCTTTAAATTAGTATTGCAATGAAATTTGTCAAAATGTATTTTTCTTTCTTTCTTTTTTTTTTTTTTTGAGACGGAGTTTCGCTCTCGTTACCCGGGCTGGAGTGCAATGGCGCAATCTTGGCTCACCGCAACCTCTGCCTCCTGGGTTCAGGCAATTCTCCTGCCTCAGCCTCCTGAGCAGCTGGGATTACAGGCACGCACCACCGTGCCCAGCTAATTTTTTTTATTTTTAGTAAAGACGGGGTTTCACCATGTTGACCAGGATGGTCTCGATCTCTTGACCTTGTGATCCACCCACCTCGGCCTCCCAAAGTGCTGGGATTACAGGCGTGAGCCACCGCACCTGGCCTAAAATGTATTTTTCTAAGTGGCATAAGCTCCCTCCTAGGCTCCACTGAGGGAAAAGTTAGGCTCTTTCCAAGCCAACTGAATTGGGATTTTATGGTTTTATGGACTTAGTATGTTGCAAAGGGTTTCACCACTAATTGACACAAAACATTCTTTCATGTGTCAGGTATTTATTGAACTTGTACACTGAAATAGACACCGTGCTAGGCGTCAGGTGCTCAAAGAGTTTCCTACTTCAATGTGGCATAGAAGCCTAGATATGTGCACGTGGAAGGGAATATGAAAGTCCAAACCCTTTGTCTTCTTCATTCTGTGCTTCTGAGTAGCAGACAAGTGGCTCTGAGACAAGGCCCCCAGGTTTGAATTATGACTCGACTCTGCTCTTTAAACATTTCTGGCCTTTCTGTGCCACAGCCTCCTCACTCCAATCCTATGAATGGGATCAGTCATAGGACTGTTGTGAGAATTAAGTGAATTGGCACATGTAAAGCACTCCAAGAGTATGTGGCACAAATCGAGTAAGCACAATAAAGTGTTTGCTGTGATCGTTAGTGGCAACTTTGTATTATGATCGGCTGAGATCTTTGCTTTTTTCCTTCCATTCCTCATTTTCCACTCCTTGCTTGTGCCTAGCAAATGACTTGGGGACATAGAGGGTTGAGAGGAAAGAGAGAGAGGGATGGTTTGAATAATGGATGTTCCCCAGATGATTCTGTGGTGCCTGATGTTTCTGCTCTAACTTATTCCCGCTCCATCATCAAGGCAAAGAAAGGGCTGCACTTGGTCCCACCATCAGACTCAGCTCGTGTTGTATGTTGCACTCTTGTGGCATCTCTTTTGTTGTGGTTTTGTTCTGTGTTAATACTCTGTAAGACTTCTCTGAAATTCAGATCCATGTCATTTGTTTTTACATGTTTGAGCTGGTTCAAATCTTGCTAAAGAATATTCTGCTCATACAAAGATGCCACACTTAAACAAACAAAGCAATACACACTCAGCTCAGTACCGTATCTTATGAACTAGTTCTTATGAATAAATCAGTAACAAGAACGTCGATATTAATAATCACACATATGCTGTACCTGTTAAGGGCAATTGACAATGTTCATCAAGGTATGCTTTTATGCTTCCTTTCTCTCTCTCCTTACAAAACCACTCTTGAGTACATGCCATGTATTCACATGGTTCCAGATCTGAGCTAGAATTATTCTACTCTCAAATGTTCATTTTACAGTACAGAATATTTATTATAAATTGATGGAGGTAGAGAAGTCTGGATAGTACCTATTTTATTGAAATGTCCTTTTATGCATTTCTCATTATACCATATCAGGTAAGGAATTATTCTCCTCATTAGGCATTTAATTAGCATAAATTTAAATGTACAAACTTGAGAAAAAATAACTGACAATTTTATAGTATGACTTGAATCAAATTGTCTACATAAGCGAGTGACACTAGAGATGCTAAAAGTGCTAAGCTTGGGCTCCTTTTACATAAAATACTTGAGATGAACAACTTGATTATACTGAACGCTATTGTTTTATCTACATCCTGTGGCTTCATTTCCCATTTCGAGATTCCTGGACCTCCCACTGCTGAGTTTTTCAGAACAGAAAGAGAACACATCTTTCAAGGCAAACTAAGGAACTGAGACTTTGTCCAAAACCAGATCAGACTTATTTTAGAAAAACAAGTTAAATATTTTTCCCATTTGCAAAGATGCCGGTTTTCTATGTCTGTTTTCCTACTTACAATGCTAGATTTTCTTCATCTTCTTCTTCTTCTTTGGTTTGTTTTCCTTTCTTTCTGGTTAGTAGCAGGTTATGCTGCATGTCAACATTTTGACAAACCACAGATGTCTCGGGCAAAAAGCAAACAACTTTAATTTCTCATCACTCTATCCAATGAACACGGGGCTTACATAATTGCTCATCACTCTATCCAATGAACACGGGGCTTACATTTTCATCTTCATTTAAACCGGCTTCTTGGCTGCTTTAATTAGCTCCTTCATGCCATCTCAGTTAGCTGGAATCTTGGTTTGCACCACAAAATGCTTCATAACTACCTGTGAAGTAGGGGCCAAACCCCAGGCAACTGTTTTGAATTTGTCATGGAGGTCTGGTCCAAGGAGCAGCGGTTGTATGGAGTGGAGGATAAGGGTGGGGGAAGGAAAAGTGAGGAGAATTTGAGAAGACTCAAAGGTTGAAAAATCTACCGGCAAAGTGTGAGTGCACATGTGCGTGTGTGCGCATGTGCGTGTGTACGTGCACGTGCGTCTGTACACGCATGCGCATGTGTGTATTTATGATTCCATTTGCTTGAGTCATTCCCCTCCATGCTGGAAGACAGTATGAGCCATGGAGAATCAACTGCCCGCTGAGGAATTTAAATGAAAATGCTCAAGGGTTGGTCTGGCAAATTTTAAGAGCAAAGTTGTCTACTATTATAATGGATGCCTCCTCCCTTCTTGGGAATGGGAGTCTGTCTTGTGGTTTTCATTTTTATATGAGGAAATCAGAGCTCAAAAAGACGCCGTTCGTTTTTTACCGTTCGTTAGCTATTGTATACCTGCGAAGTCTCCTGAGATTTCCTGGACATTTTCGGTAGTCACTCCACAGGACACCCTCCAGAAACCTGTAGCTCAGCGGGAGATAAGCCAGCAAGATAACTGTTTCAGTTAATTAGTTCATTCATGATTTTAAAAGCATTATTTAACATGTGCTAAAATAAAAAGAAATGAGAATCAGTTTCTCCCCTAAAAGAGATGACAGTCTGGATAGCATGGAAGAATGAGCCTTATTCCCCTGCCCCTTCTGCTCTCTTGCCCTTATAAGCCTCCTTTTCTCTCTCCCCTAACAGGACACCTTTGTCTTTTGCCTCTCTGTTCTCCCAGTCACTCAGCCAAGTCCTGGGCTCTCTAGCCCTCCTACATTGCCAGAACTCCATGACTAGCTATTTCGGCAATTGGATGATGTTGATTTCCTTGTTTTTCAGGATGTTCACTGTGTCCATTTCCATCCCTAGGGGGAAGGCCAGTCCACTTTCTCTCATGCACCAGCGCTATCCAGACCCACTGGGGAATGTTAATAAAGGCAACGTGTTTCCTTGAAAATTCTTCCCAGTAACCTTAACTAAGGCCCTTCTGCTGCTCAAGAATTTTCCTTCTCGTCTCCTGCTGTCTGTCAGGTCCCCTGTGGTATCCTTTCCAGACTTTTCTCATGCTCCAAAAGCTCTGAGCCTAGCCCTTGCCTCCTGTCATGCCTAAGGTAAGGTCTCCTGATGGGAGCTCTTTCAGGAAGCCTCGTGATCCCAGCAGTTTCACCATTTCTTCCATACTGTTCCCCATTCTCTGCTCATTCTTCAGTCCTTTGAATTACAGCTTCGAGCACCACCACCCAATTAATGATGATAGTAATAGCTACCATTTTGAACTCATATCAGCAGGAGGCAAACAACATTGACGAAACCATTCTTCCAATCACAGAACAGCTGTTTGAGGAAACACCTAGAAGACACCTAGAAGAGCAAAAGAAAGACCCTGAACACTTCAAGACAGAAGTCAGGGCAAATTGAAAAGATTCTGACTTATCGGAAGCCTTCATCTCATTCAGGAACCCGGCAAGCACGAATTCTCCACGGTTTGCACCCCGTGTGCCATCCCCTCCACTAGATAATAACCATCTTCGACTTCTCGAAAAATACTCGGTAAAGCCTTATTAGTGCTATTTTTTATGATTTTAAAATAAAATTTAAAAATCTACAAGTAATGAATTTATCTTGTAAAGAACTAACACTGCAGATAAAGTTCTCCAAAGTGTCTTTGCCCGTCAGCCCTGGTTTTGGTTTTCTCCCTTGCTTTGCCCACAGGGAACCTCTGCTATCTGTGTGCGGTACATTCTACTAAGACATTTCAGGCATTCATATAAATAGATGTCACCACTGTCAATTTGCAGTTGTGTTCATGTGTGCCCTTGCCCTTGAGCGTGCGTGTACACACAAATAGAACCTGAGACTGAAACCATCATACTGTACTGCCTCGGATTCTGAGGGAACTGTATAAACTGCTGTTCCAGTTTCACATGAAATAGCAACTTGTGAACAACATCTTATTCACGAGACTATAAAAAACAAAACTGCATTGCTGCTTTAGATGTTGAAGACATGAGGCTCCTTGGTTTATCTGAAATTTGTCCATTTGTTTTCCAAATATATAAAAATGTGGGTTCACATCCGGCTGATTTACCTCTGGGTAGAGATTCGTGGGTCAAATACCAAAGGTTCATTTGCCATTTGATAAAGTGATTTTTGGGATTTTCCTTTTTGCCTTCACAATCACCAAGCCAAAAAGTCAAGTCACACTTCTCCCCTGAAACGTACATAAGCTGCTCCTGACAATGACCCCAGACACAGGGAGGGATGCCAAGTGCCATGACTATTTATATCTACTTTTTTCTCTACAATGACTGATTGTTACCTCTCCCTCTCATTGGACATACTTTGCAGTCCCACAATGAGGGTTAACTACATTTTTTTTTTTGTTTGAGATGGAGTCTCACTCTTGTTGCCCAGGCTGGAGTGCAACAGTGTGATCTTGGCTCACTGCAACCTCCACCTCCTGGGTTCAAGCAATTCTCCTGCCTCAGCCTCTGGAGTAACTGGGATTACAGGCATGCACCACCAAGCCTGGCTAATTTTCAGTAGAGAAAATTAGCCAGGTTTCTCCATGTTTGTCAGGCTGGTCTTGAACTCCTGACCTCAGGTGATCCACCCACCTCAGCCTCCCGAAGTGCTGGAATTAGAGGCATAAGCCACCATACCTGGCCGAGGGTTAACTACTTTCTAAATTGAGAAATATTTTGTCCTCATCCCTAGCAGTTAAAACTCCAGCACTCTCTGTTTGTTCCTTTAGTTTTTATACAATGTGTTTTCTCTAAGACAATAGAAATTTAAACTGGAAATCCAACTCTCCCCTCCTCTATTTTCACCACACCTTTTCTTATCTTATAAACAAATGCCTATGTCCACATTTTCCTGGCAGCCCAAACTCAGTTCCTTGGTTCCATCTTCTTTGCTTCTTTCTCTTCTTTCTTTCATACTCAGTTGTCCTAAGAGACTGGTCTACACTCCATACCTTCACTTCCACACTTTCCATTCCTTCCTTCCTCACTACATTCCTTCCATCCTGACATCTGGTCCATGCCCCCAGCTCTCCACTGAAATCTTCTTTGCTAAGGTCACCCTCAGGAAGCTGGAGATAAACCAGTAGACACTACAGTCTTTTTCTCTGCTGCACTGAAAGTAGTTGACCACTTCTTTCCTCTAGACCCCACTCTCTGACCCCTCTCTCCTTCTTTGGAGGATACCTTTTGCTTTGGTTCCCCTCTTCCTGGTTCAGTACACTGTGCCACTTACTGCCATGATGATTTACCCATGGGCCCACACATTTTCACTCTTATGCTTTCTGTACGGGTAGGTTCATCTCATTTAAAAGAGGGGCTGTCTCTTCCCGCACTTCCATTTGTCTTAGTCCATTTGTGTTGCTATAAAGGAATACTTGAGACTGGTTATTTAGAAAGAAAAGAGGTTTATTTGGCTCATTGTTCTGCAGGCTGTACAAGACACATGGTGCCAGTGCTTCTGGGGAGGGCCTCAGGGAGCTTCCACTCACTGGAAGAGGAAAAGAAGCCTGCATGTGTGGAGATCACGTGATGACAGAGGATGCAAGAAAGGGCGGAAGTGCCAGGCTCTTTTTAACAACCAGCTTTTGTGGGAACTAGCAGCACAAACTCACCACCCTGTCAAGGAAATACGCTAATCTATTCTGCACTAATGAAGGATCCATGACCCAAACACCTTCAATTCAGCCCCACTTTCAACATGAGGACTGACTTTCAGCATAAGATCTGGAGGGACAAACATCCAAACTATAGCACCATTCATGTCATTACCATATTCTCAGTCTCTCTGCCCCAAAACGCTGCGAACCTGTTCCCTGCTGCATCTTCAATCCAACCAGCCACATAGTCTGTGCTGTTTTTTAAAGATTAAATCTCAAATCAAATCTTGTTGACTCATCCAGTTCCCTCTCTGTGTGTCCTTGGCACTTTCTTAGTTTAAGTTAATTGCTCAGACGGTTACATTCCTAGCTGTGAGGTCCTCTTCGAGCCTCTCAGAACACTGTTAGGAACATGGTAAGTGCCATGGTTCAGATTTTTGTGTCCCCCCAAAGTTCATATGTTGGAACCTAATTCTTAAGGTTTTTATTAGGAAGTGGGGCATTGGGAGGTGACTAGGACATGAGGGCAGTGCCCCGATGAATGGAATTCGTGCTCTTATAAAAGATGCCTGAGGGAGACTGTTGCTCCTCTCACCATGTACTGACCCAGCTGGAAGGTGCTGCCTATGAGGAAAAGGGTTCTCGGCAGACACTGAATCTGCCGGTGCCTTGAGCTTAGTCTTCCAGCCTCCACTACTGGGAGCAATCGCTTTCTGCCGTTTTAAGTTACCCAGTCCTAGGTATTTGGTATAGCAGCCTGAATGGACCAAGACAGCAGGTCCTCAGGAGATACTAACTGAATGAACATCTTCAAAATATTAGACGGTTTCATAGACAACCTTCATACCTTCTCATGTTCGCTTTCTGCTTCAAGACTTTTGCCAACTTCCTGTTGCCGACAAAACATAATTGAAATGACTGTGCTGGTGAATGGCTGTTCATGCTTCTCTTCACATTCTCTCCTGCCTTGCCTACCTCTGCAGCGCCCTTCACCTTCCCATCACACTTGGGTCCCACACATTTTCACTCTTCTGCCTTCTCTGGATAGGTTCATCGCATTTAAATCAGGGGTAAGTCTTCTCATCCCACACTTTCATTTGTCTCAGTTCATTTGTGTTGCTATAAAGAAATACCTGAGGCTGCTAATTTATCAAGCAGCAAGGCTACTCTCTGTCCCCTCCTTTTCCATAACTGCTCATGGTTATGGCATCGTAAAGACGGTTCCCCTGCCTAGAATGCCCTTTCTCCTCGTCTTTTTGGCAACACCTTGGTATTCCCTGGACAGAGTCATCCTTTCCTCCCTCACTGTCACCAGGTCCTCTATATACCTTGAATCATATCATGTTACAATAGTGTATCTCCATCCCCTGGACTTTGAGGCTCTGGAGGGCACAGAACTGTTGTTTATTCATTCTGGAGACCAAACTAAACATTTTTCAAAGTAGTTCATAGAGGTTTCTTATCAGAATTACCTATGAGGCTGGTTAAACATAGATGCCCGGGCCCCACACTAAGTTGCCAAGTTAGGTTTATCTGGGTAGTGGGACTCTCCTAGGCAAATCTCATGCATATGAGCATCTGAGAACACATCTACAGCATCCAACAAATATCTGATGAATAAAAACATGATTTAAAAAGTACTGAAATCTCTACTTCTAAAATTCTGCTCTATTTCCTTCATTCCTCTGGGGTGTAGTTTGGCTGGGGACAGGCTCAGGTATTTGGCTCAGTGACAGATCAAAGTGGCCTAGATGGGAAACAGCTGTGCGTTATTCCCCAGCCATGTCATGCAAAGTACCTATTGTCCTGTGCAAACGCCAAATTAGGTTTGGGGCCATTCAAAGTCCAGAAGATGGTTGGCTATGATAAGAACAAACAAATTCTTGCTCAAGTGGGAACTGGTATTGCAGGGCATACTCTGCATTTTTAACTCACTAAAGCCTAGTTCTTAAGTTTAAGTGGTTCATAAGTATCTTCTAAGGAGCTGCATGGTTCCATTTGCTGTGCTTATCATTAGTATTGATAACTCTAGTATCAGTTAATAGCCTTCACCTGTTGACATTGAGTGGCTTGTGAATGAGGTTTTTTAGAGTTTAGGTGAGGCTGCTGGGTGACTGTATCGATAGACAAGGCTTGTTTTGGACACAGAGTCTCACTCTGTCACCCAGGCTGGAGTGCAGTGGGGTGATCTCAGCTCACTGCAACCTCTGCCTCCTGGGTTCAAGTAATTCGTTTGCCTCAGCCTCCCAAGTAGCTGGGACTACAGGCACATGCTGCCACACTCAGCTAATTCTTTGTATTTTAGCAGAGACAGGGTTTCACTGTGTTGTGAACTCTAGCAACATGATCCTGAGATCTGTTATAATGCACCATACCAGGACCCATGAAGACTTTATAAAACATTAATCATCTGAATGACCTGAGGACTACATGACATATATACCACACATATTTGTTGTATTTATTATTTACTGAATATGTATGTATCTGGTATCATTACCTACCAATGAATAAAATCTTTTAATAAGTACATATAGATCCAGCAGTCCCACTTCGGGGTACATATCCTAAGGGCTTGAAATTATGTTGAAGAGATATCTTCACTCTGTTTATAATAGCTAAAATGTGAAAATTTCCTATGTGTCCATCAGCGCATGAATAGATAAAGAAAATGTGGTATATACACACAACGGAATACTAGTTAGCCTTTAAAAAGAAAGAAATCCTATAATTTGCAATAATGGGGATGACCATGGAAGAAGACACTATGCTAAGGGAAGTAAGCCAGGCACAGAAAGACAAATACTGCATGCTCTCACTCATACGTGAAATCTAGAATAATTTAACTAACAGAGAATAAAATGATGGTTACCAGAGCTGCGGGTCAGGGAATGGGGAGGTGGCGGTGAAGGGGTAGAAAGTTAAGAGTTAGACAGGAGGAGTAAATGACAAGTACTTAAGGGGATGACATGTTAATTAGCTTGATTCCCTCATTCCATGTTGTATACATATAACATCACTGTGCATCCATAATTATATCTGATTATAATTTGTAAAAAAATAAGTAAATAAAAGGACACATAAAAATGTAGAAACACACTGATATTATATACAGGTGAACACAGATTTGTATCTGAGACGTGGAAAATAAGACACCAGGAGTGATGTGAAACTGCTCTTTCCGGTCCCTTTGTGGAGGAGTTAAGACCTGTCTATGGCATCTGAGAAGAAACAGGATATGGATTGGCAATTAAGCCTCCCGCTGGATTGCTCAGATAATGCCACAGTTAGGTGGGGCCTTAGAGGTCATCTAACTTAATTCAGTATCTATTACTTACTCATTAATATTCCCATAGTTTCTGTATTACACAAATAACATACGGTCATTGTTGAAACCAGAAAAAATAAATACTTCGAAAAGATGACAAAACCAGTGTTACGTTGGAGAATATATTCTTTTAGACACTTTCTCATAATACGCAGTGTTAGCCATCAGAGTGTCTTAGTTTTCTATTGCTGCTATAACAAGTTACTGCAAATTTAACAGCTTAAAACAACACAAATCTGATATATTACAGTTCTATAGGGTAAAACACAGGTTTCACTGGGCTAAAGCTAGGATGTTGGCAGGGCTGTGTTCCTCCTCTCTGGGTTGGGAAGAATCTGCTTCCTTGCCTTTTCCTGCTTCTAGAGGCCATCCGCATTCCTTGGTTCATGGCCCCTTCCTCTATCTTCAAAGCCAGCAGTGCTGCGTCTCTCTGACCATTCTTCCCTCGTCACAACTCCCCTTGACCACAGCTGGGAAAAATTCTCCCTGATTTTAAGAACCCATATGATTAGACTGGGCCCACATATGTAATAGAGGACCCCATCTCAAGGTTCGTAACTTAATCAGATCTGCAAAAATCCCTTTTGCCATGTAAGGTAACATGTAAGGTCTCAAATTCTGAGAATTAGAATACGAACATGTTTAGGGCTATTATTTTGCGGATCACGCATAGAGATAAGACAACTGATGTTCATGGAGGATATGTGACTTACCCAAGATCACAAAGCTGGCAAATATTAGATCTGTTGGTTAAAGTGTTTTAGAGAGTTTGATGCAATTAGACTCTAATGGAAACTCATGATGAAAGAGATGTGAGGAACTAAATGGAAATTACTGTCGAAAGGGACATAACAAAGAAATGCAGAGTTTGAATGGACTTAGTTCCAAGCCTCACACTTTGTTCTCAGTCTACAGATGCCATGATCTTGATCTCTTAAGAGAAGGCATTGGCACAGGAGGCCCCTGTCTGTTTCTGCTGCCACTCTTGACATCTCTCAGATGACCCCTTCTGGCTCCCTTCAATGTCCTTCTTTTCCTACTTGTCTTGGCTTCTGCTGTCTCCTGCTTCCACCCGCTGCCTCTATCCCATGAGTCTCTTGGTTTCTGGATCCTGTTGCCACTTGCATTTCTCTCTGTGTCACTTTCAAGTTCCCTAAAGGAAAGTATCTGATATAGTTCATTGTTCGCACAGACCACTGGGCAACCCTTATCGTGTGGAGGTTCCCACTGTATTATCTTTCTGGCTGCCAGCCAGTTGCTGATGGCTGTCTTCAAAGACAACTGCCATTTCCTGGTTCCATCAGCCAGGATCACAGGGTCAAATGTGACAATCTGCACGTACGAAATCACTTACGGTCTCTTCCCTCAGCATAGCACCATGGGCAGGGCAGGCACAGAAAGACTTTTTTCCAAATCGTTGGCTGTAATTTTCTTCCCGGCTAACTCCTGCATATACTGAAGCTGAGGCATATCGGGGGACCACAGCTAGCATGGTCTAGCTGAATGAATGAGCATGAGAAGGGGCCCATGGGAAGAAAGACAATAGTCCCCAGAACCAAGACTGAATATGGGCGTTTGGAAAACAGTTTGGGTAATTGCATTCAGTACTTCAAGGCTCTAATTGCTGTTCTTTAACAATGAGGCCACATTGGCTTATGAAAAGTTCTAAAATTATATTATTTTTATCAGAAACCAGGACCTCAAGTTACTCCCACAAACCACACACATGGCCTTGCAAAATGAGGCTGTGGGAAGGGGACTCTGATGCTTCTACATTTTGCACCTATTGGTTTCACCAGTTATGTTAGCTCTGAAAGGGGCACAAAATGGCCTCATTAACTGGGGAAGAACGAGTCTAAACAAGTTTCAGAAGGAGAAAAGGTCCCTTGGGTCCACTGAGCCCTGCCACCACCACCCCCACCTTCCTAATGGAAGAATGCTGCTGGAAAAGTGTCAT